AGGCGGGAATTAAATTTTTTGGTGACCAAAATTTTGGTAGCTGAAAGTGTATCTTTGGCGACCAAATCCGATTTTGGTCGGCAAAAGTTAAGTTTTTTAGCAACTAAAAAATAATTAGTAGCCAAAAGTATAGAATTGGCGACTAAAAATAAAAAATATTTTTAGTCGCTAAAAGTGGTCCTTTTTTTTATTTTGGTAGTAAATAGTTTATTTTACATAAATTATGTTCAATAAAATAATTATGTTTATACATATACTTTTATATTAATATGGATGTATGTACTATATAAATAATATATGTTGCATATATAATCATGTGGTGCTATAGAGGTGTAGTGGGAAGAGTGTGGTGTATAAGGTTTATGGTGCTGAAGGTTGGCGGTTCGAGTCTCCGCAAGAGCGGATCAAATTGTTCTACAACGAATTATCGTCATGAATGGCACTTGATAGCGTCACGAATAGTGCCTACCATGACATTAAAGTGTCACTGAAAGGTTTTAGTCTTGATGGTGTAATGACACTTACAAGTGTCACTAACTCTTTTTTTAATGGCGCTTGATAGTGCCACAAATAATATCTACCATGACATTAAAATGTCATTGAAAGTTTTCAGCCATGATGGTGCAGTGGCACTTGCAAGTATCTACCGTGGCACTCGTATCTACCGTGGCACCGATAGAAGTGGCACTTGTTCAAAATGCCACAAGACCAAAAAATGTCATTAGAAGAATAGTTTTGTGACACTTTCAAATGCCACTAAACTAAGAAAATGTTGTAGTGATTACTAGCAAATGCCTAAAATATCAACTCGAACTCATTCTTAGCTCATCCTATTCCTAAACAACTAGATTCATTCCCAATACCAATATGTACCTCTAGTTTCGATTATCTAAAATAAATTTAAAACCATTAATTATATTCACTTATAACTAATACCATTTTAAATGATAATTGAAAACCATTTTAAACATAATGAAATCTGCCACAATAAATTATAACAGATTTTAATTTGACAATTTAATAGCCCACCATCACAATATCTCAAATTCAAATACTAAAATAATTCCTAATCGACATCAATTTAGACTATATATATAAACATGTGTAGATGATGAATTACCCAAAAGCTAGAACAGTGACAGCCCAAGCGATCAGGGATGATGATCCAGCAGCAGCTAGACTATCATTTCTCCAAAATCTGATATGGTTTGCCCCTGCAAATTTTGATGCTATGCCGAGCACCGCCGCCAGTATTGTATATGTCAAGAAGAAACCAGTTGCTCCATTTCCCCCAAAACCTACACATTCTCATTGCTTCAGTATATATATATACAAATTAATTTGATTTATCTTCTCATAGCCAAATATATACACACATTGAAATCATAACACTCCATTATTTCAAAGTGAAGCTATGATCTAAAACTTTGTCAACTAGAATTCATTCCATCATCAAACTGTAGCACATAATTCTCTTAATCTTTCTTCACTAAACTCCGAAATTTAAGCTCAATATATCTTGAGATCTCGGGAATACTCAATTCGGGATACAAGGTAGAGATGACAGAATTGGGTTTGCGATCATCATTAGAATTGTGTAATTCAAATTTTGTATTTAGAAATGCAGATACCCACAGCATGATTAGAGTAACAAGTTACACCCAGAAGCCCCAAAATAAGTCTTGGGCTACAGTGAGGTGGTATAGTCAACGGGGGGAAATTATAGAATATTTTCAAAATACTTTCGTACTCCTTAACTAAATCATTTATTATACCTTCTTATATTTCTCAATCATATAACACAATATTCCACCTATGCACTTTATCCACCAACCACAATATTATATTGTGGAGTTCCACGGCTCTTCCTATTTGTATTCCATAATTATTAAATAATTCATTACAACATATATGAATTTTAGAAACCAAATGTTTTGGTTTCTAAAAGTGAAAATTTTGTTATAAAAAATATTTAAGTATCAATTTCTATCATTGTGAGAATGATCGAATAATATCGTCTTAATATATATTTAAGTATAATATCGTCTTAAAAAGTCAAAAATAAGATTTTTAGCAACAAAATTTTGAAAATGTGACTTATAAATTGACTTTAGGAATAAAATAATTTGGACTTTTAGGAATAAAATAATGTAGTCTTGAAATGGTTTATTTTTTTAGATAAAAAATTTGATCTCAAAAGAATAATAATTCATCACTAATATCTAATTTTCGTTGTTAAAAATATAATAACAACACTTTTCACAACAAAAATATTTGATCCCTAAAAATAATTTTATCCCTAAATTTTGGTCGGGTAAACTTTTTTTTTTTTTTTTTGTGATTACCTTAATCAATAATTGATTAGCTTTACAATTCTGTTGACGTGGCATAAGGTGAGTGGCTGCCCGTAAACACCTGAGTTTACCGAACCACCGTGAAATGCACAATCTCACAAAAGAGATTTAACAGTCTCTCAACAAAATGAGAGGGAAAAAAAAATCTCATTGAGTCACAAAGCGAGAAGTAATTGTTATTTAAAATTTTTTATGTTGCTACATGCGATTAGATGATTATATAAAAAATAAAAATAAAAATAATTGATGGGTAAATTTTAAATATGGCACACATTGCGGAGATGTGATAATTTCTACCAAGGTAAAGTAGTCCTTAATTTGACATTCATGCTCAAAAATTAAGACCCCACTTTCCATTAGCAACCTACCATTATATAGTAGGTAAAACAACTTTCCTTCTCATATATTCTTTAATTATCAATTAATTTATACATCATACGATTATACATTTTTTAGAAAAAGAGTTTTAGAAGGTGGACTGAATTTAGAAGGTAAATTTATATATCATTTTCTATGGCGTCATATGAATAAATTACACCTTTAACTCCTCGACTATTAATAAATATCACCGATTATTAATAAAAATCACTTAATCTTCCGCCAGAATAAATAAATTTGACACTACTATAAAATATGATCATTTTTATTCCTAAAATGACATTTATTTATAGGTTCGAAGAGGGAAGAAGAAAATGATGTGAGGAAATCTCAACATAAAAAGTAGGGAAATTACCGTACATTCAAAAAAATATTACAGATATACAAAAAAAAAAAGAAAAAAAAAAAAAAAAAAAGAAATTAATTATTAGTGTTGTTGATAAAATTTCCCATTGATTTTGTAATTTGTTTTTATTTTTAGAACTGAATCCTGTAAGTTCAAAAAAATGAATTAATACACCAATAAACATTATAAAAAAAAAAACTCATTTTTTTTATTTAGAAAACTAAACAAATAAAAAATAAATTGATAGCCCTACACTCTTAACAGGGTGAAGGTTTCTATTATCAGCAAACTCTGCAGTGGAGCTCCCAAACAAAAAAGAAATAAATGAGAAAAAGCAAAAAACAATTAACTAATAGAAGTTGTAATATAAAAACATGTGAGAGATGAGAGAGGAGAGAGAGGATGAACTACTTACTAGGATGGTAAGTTTGGCCATTGATGTACCTGTTGAGACACCAACTAGCAAAACCCAAGACTATAAAATACATTACTAAGTTCAGAAACAGCAATGGTGCTGCTATGTTCCTTCCCACTGTTGCCATTCTCTTTCTTCTTCTTCTTCCAATTAAGCCTTAATTCCAACTTCTCTTTCTTTCTTCCTTTCTTTCTTTTCAAGTTCTTGTTCTTCTTTATCTGTTCTGTTTGCAAAGGTGGTGGGAACTATATATAGAGGTGCTCTTGGATTTACATGCATGAGCATGACACGTGTCATGCTGCTAGCTTTAGCTGTGTGCTTCAGCTTACAGCTGTTGGGACACTTGTCAAGTTTTGTCCTTAGTTTAGTTTCCTATAACCTCCTCTCTCTCTCTCTCTCTCTCTCTCTCTCTCTCTCAACTTTGGATTCTCTCAAAAACCTCAAAAGAGCAAGTGCTTATCCCTTTATATCTACACTCTCTACACTCTGGATTCTCTCAAACCTTAAAAACAAGCGGTGCATATCCATACAATATATCATCATTTAATATACATTAATTATATATATATATATATACATGGGGAGAGATAATAAGTGTTTATTTAATTTTATTTGAAAATTTTAATTTGTTGATAACATTATGTAAGATGGTATTACTATTTCACTTAATATTTATTTTTCTAACTAATAGACCATTTGAATTGTCTGTTATGCAATTAGAAAAGTATTCTAAATATAAAATATATGAATCGCATTTATTTTAAAAATAATTATATCAAAATTAATTGATCCAATTTATTTTTTGATTTTTCTTTTTATGGTGTAAGCCATCTCTTGAATAAATATATATTTTATTTTCTAAACATTTTTAACCTTTGTTTTTTTCTGTCATTATGTAGCATTCTTTTTTAAGTTATATCCTTTTTCATTAATTCTTCCTCCCAAAACGGGATGATTTTATCCAATAAAGTATTCTAAGTGAAAGTTAAGATTTGGGCCAGTGAGACAATTGGGCCTGGGCCATGATTTGGTGTTTAATTATGGTACTGTTAAACCGGGTACAAGATGTCACGAAGACCTGAATCATAAAGCCCCATAATTTACTCTTTATTTTGAAAAAAATATTTTATATTTTGGTTTACATTTTTGTAATTTGGCATATTTTACTATTTATTTTGAGATAAAATAATAGTGTTTGGTTTACTAGCCTTTTATATAAAAAGACAGTCTCAATGCACGAGACTTTTGTCATTACAGTATAAAATGTGTTAGATATATGAAATTTAACTTAAATATCTCGGTACACTAATTCTCGAGAGAACTTAATCCACATTATTCTATCTGATAACCAAATATAGGCACTGTGTAATGAGAACTATAGAACGTAAGTAAAATATAAAAATAAGTACTAATGCAACCGACATGAACTATTCATTTTATTTTGTTTGGTATCTATTGTTGTTTTTTATTATTTGATGACAAGCATGACTGTCCTGATATACTACAATTATCTTGTAGCTACGATTATTTTGAATCCGATATTTTCATAGACGTTAAAAAAATAATAATAATAATAATAATAATAATAATAATCATCAAAATAGCCTGGGGAACTAGATTTGGGTTTGGGGAAAAGTCCAATCCAAAAAATAAGATATAAAATAAGTGGTACTTATGGGCCGGTCCTATTGACTAGATTTATTTACCTGTAAGTCTTGCTCATTTTTTCACCTCTCAATATCTCCAAAATACCCTTCCTACACCTCCTTCAACAACTCAATCATCAAATCATTATCATGACCTACCACCTCCCACTTCACTACAAGGAAAAGCAGTTTTGGCGACTAAAAACCAAATTTTCATCGCTGAAAGTAGCACAATTGGCGACTAAAATGGAATTAGTAGCCAAAAGTCACTTTTGGCGACTAAAAGAGTTTAGTAGCCAAATGTATAGCTATTGGCGACTAAAAACAGATTTAGTCGCCAAATGTATGGGTTTTAGCGACGAAGGGTTTTTTAGTAGCCAAAAGTGACAGTTTTTGGCGACTAAAATAATTTAGTAGCCAAAAGTATAGGTTTTGACGAAAAAATTAGCCTTTTTTTTTTTTTTTTTCCACCGAAGAACCTTTGGCGACTAAATTATTGGTCACCAAAAGTATTTGTTTTGGCAACTAAACAGTTTGGTCGGCGTTCCATCAACTATTGGCGACTAAAAGATTAGTCACCAAATGTATAATTTTAAATAGTGGAATTGAGTATTGGCGACCAAAACTTTGGTCACTAAAGACCTGTCTTTTTGTTGACTAAAACCCTTTTAGTCGCCAAAACCTTCTGCGACCGTTTATTCGCGACAAAATCGGCGACTAAAACATTTAGTCGGGGAAGGTAAAAAGGCAACTTTTAGCGACTAAAAATGGACCCTAAGGTGATTTTTCTTGTAGTACTTCTAGCTATCGATGAGTACTTTCAACCGTTGGTGATAACCTCCGGCAACCTCTGATGATCACTTCCGACAACCTCTGGTGTTCACTACTGTCATTATCTCCTAAGATCTGATGGCAACAGGAGAAGAAGAAAAAAAAAAAGCAAAAAGAAGAATGATAGCGAGAGAGAGAAGATAAATGGGAAAGAAAAAAGGAAAGGCCTTAGTAGAAAATTGTTAACCTTTGTGTCGTAGATCAACATAATCATACCTTTACCATCTGCTCTTTGTCCTCTTTCCAATGATAAATTTATTATTGATAGATTGACCCATCCAACATATTCGCATCTACAATGACAAATCAGTGATAAATTCGTCACTGTATAAATATAAAAAAATTAGCAACAATGTATAACATATTCAACAAATCACTGATAGATTAATCATATTGTATATTTATCTCTCTCTAGTGACAAAAATGATAAATTTATCACTGACTGTTTGTTAAAAAATTACAAAAAGAAAATCTCATATCATCGTCACAAATTAACACAAGATTCAAAGACATATTCAGTAAAAAATTTAGCAGTGATAAACACATTCACTGATAAATTTCTCACTAGTTATTTGTTGAAAAGATTACAAAAAAATAAAAATAAAAAAATCTCATCATCATCGTGACAAATCAACACAAGATTCAAAGAAATATGTCAGTGATACATTTTATCACTAACACAGCAGATTTGATTTAAAAAGAGAGAAAGGGAGTGAGGAAGAGAGAGGTGATAAATATAACATGAACAAAAATCAGTGATAAATTTATCATTATATTAAATCAAAATTTCAGCAGCAGCAATCCATAACATATTAAACAAATCAATGATAAAATTTATCACTGAATTAAGTGATAAATTCATCAGATTAGTTCAACATGTTTTACAAATGTAGATCTGCACCAACACACTGTAGAAAGAGTCTCGATCTCATCAGCGACTATGTAAAGTACCAGATTAGTGCTGAAGATGGTAGATTAGCATTGAAAACAACTGGATTTGAAGCCATTGGTGAAGTTCGACGTTGAAGATGGTGAATCGATGATTGAAGAAGAACGGCGGTGATGGCAGATGAATGATGGGTGATGAAGGAAGAGCGACAGTAATGGAAAAAAGAAAGGAAGACGACAATGTTAAGCGAGCGAATCAAATGATTGAGAGATGGTGAAGTACAGATTGGAGACAATAGAAATGGTTGGTGAACAATGGTGGTGGGAGTGGCCGGCGAAGGTGGTGGTGGTGGTGACTGGTGGAGTTGGCAGTAGTTAGTGACGGATGACGACGGTGGTTGTGGATGGGTGGCCATGGCCAGTGGCGGAGGGAGCATGTGACCAGGGGGGTCACGTGCCCTCCCTAGATTTTGGGAATTTTTTTTTTTTTTGCAAACATAAAAAAAATTATTTTAAATAAAAAATTACAAAAATATTATTAGAGTGAAATGTCAAAGACATTTTTAAAATTATGAAAACAATAATGGTTGTTTTGATTGAAAATGAAGAGACTATTATAAATAAGTCATATTAGCTATGAATTTTTTTAAATGTAACGGCAATGTCATTATTAGTGATATGCAAGTATAAGTAATCTCACTATAAAGATATGAAATTTATTAGATTGTTAGTTACATTTGACATGTGAGGTTCACTCTTTATGCGTTTATTTACCATTAGTGGTTGATATCACGTACCAATGATGACGTGATATTACCATTATATTGAATTTTTAATCAAATTTTGTATCAAAAAATAATTTGTCATTATATAATTTATTCTAAGGCTTATATCCATATTTTTTTTGTATTGTCCATGATACACTAGTTACAAATAACATTCAGCTTGTTTGTTTCCAGTTTTCAAAAAATTTACTTTTTTATTTTTCATATCTTAATGTTTTGGATGAATTTTTTTAATATTTTAAGCAATTTTTTTTTTAATTTTTAGACACACCTAACATAAATATATTTAAAAAGTATACTATTTGGAAAAAAAAATATTTAAAAAATACATTAAATTCCAAAAAATACAAAAAAAACAAAAAAACAAAAATTCAGTATATTTTTTTTTGTGTGTATTTATTAATTTTTTAAAATATTTTTTTACAAATATTTTACTATTTAGATACATCTAAGTAAGATTCATCTAAAAAAGTAAAAAAATTACTGAAAATTCAAAAAATATTCACTAAAAACAAAAAAAAATAAAAAAACTCAGTTTTCAAAAAACTGAATTCAGAAAACTGAAACCAAACACACTAATTATTTATATTTTTTTATGTTTCTTGAAATCAATCGTAAAAACTTGCGTGAAATATTTTTATAAAAATTATTGTAATTAATAAGTGCTCCCTCTAATTTAATTTTCTGCCTCCGTCACTGGCCATGGCCATAACTGCAATTGTGGTATCTTCTAGAGGGAGAGAGAGAGAGAGATGAGAAAGAAAAAGAATTTTGGAAAAATAATCAAAAGAGAAGTTAATACAAATTAAAAAAATTAATGAGTAATAAATATTATAAATAATTAAAGATTTGTAAAGTGTTTAGAATGATTTAAATAGAGATTTTTATTAGCTGGTAATAGGGCAAAATCGAAATAAAAAAATATAATAAGATTTCTTAGTATATGAGATAGAAACTTAAGATTTAATGAATAATAGATTCAATAATTGAGACCAACGGGTAAAAATCTCATAAAATAATGTGTTTAGGGAAATTCTAGTTTCATGCCCAA